TAAGTTTTATTTTTAAATTTTATTATTTAAAATTTTAAATTAATATATTAATTTTTTATAGAACTGAATACCTTAAGCTAAAAGGTAAATCTACTAGAACAATGCAATTATATCTTAAAAATAAACATCAAATTGATTTAAATGAATTAAAAAATAAATCAACTAAAAAAAAGGTAAGCTAAATTTAATAAAATATTTTTAATAATTATTATTATCAAATTTAAAAATATTTTATTTAAATTTATTATAAACTTATTTAAAAATTTTATATTAATTAAATTTTAAAATATATAATTTAAATAATAATTTATATTTTTATTTATTTATAGAAATTTATACAAGAAGAATTTATTAACATAATTACCGATTGGATAGTTGATAATGATCAATCATTTAGAGTAATTGAAAAACCTAGTTTTAAAAAAATTATTGAATATCTAAATGATGATGCAAAACTTGTATCTGGAACTACAATTAAAAATAAAATTATATCAAAATATATATACGAACAAGCTAAAATTATTAACAAATTGCAGGTATATTTATTATTATTTAAATTTCAAAATTTAATAATAATATTTATTTATTTTTATTTTTAGGAATTATCTTGTAAAATTTCTATAACACTTAATATTTGGTCTTCTTCTAAAATTGAATCATTTTTAGAAATTATTGCTTATTGGATTGATAATAATTGGAATTTACAACAAATAACTCTTGATTTTATTTAATTAAAAGAAATTCATTTAGGAGAAAATATTGCTAATACATTATTTAAAATATTAGATAATCTTGGGCTTTTAAACAAGGTTTTTAAAATATTTTTATTATATAATAAATATTTAATTATTAATAAATTATTATTTTATAATATAGATTTTAGCAATTACTACTGATAATATAGCTAATAACAATACAATATTTCAATATTTTGCCAATCGTTGTGCTTATGATGGAATTAATTTTGATATAGATAATCAAAGAGTATGATATTTAGTATATATTATTAATTTGGCAGCTCAAGATTTTTTAAAAAATCTTAAAGCTGAAGGACCAGATGAAAATAAAATTTTTGAAGATAATGAAAATATTACATCTACAGTAAAAAAAATAAGTAAATAAATTTAATATTTATAAAATATTATATAAAATTATATTTATTATATATATATAATTATTATTAAAAGCTTA